AAATAAATAAATAACCTTCTTGACTTCATTAAATAAAATAAAATAATTAGAGAGTTAACTTCTTGTGTATACATTATCTCTCAATTTTATCTGGGTGTATTTTAGGGATTAAAAAATTATTTTCAGATATATAAATCTAGAGATGTCATATTTTCATGTTTGTTTAAAATTTTGAAAATAAAATATCTTCGAGTGTTTATTTATTTTTGAGAAAGTAATTACAACATGACCTGATTGACTTCACTTTTAGTTTTATGATAGAGAATAAGAAAGTTGTATTCAAATGAGAATGTAGGAATAAATAATTTTTTTATTTTAATTAATTAAAATTTTGAAAATATGTGTTAGAGTATTAAGTTTCTACTAAACTGGCTTTTAAATATTCTCATAAATAATATTTTTATGATGAAGGGTCATAATTACATTGATGTAACTTTTACTAAGTATTATACCGCTTAATAACTTTTATATTAAATGTGAATTTTGTAAATCCAACCGTTAAATTGAAAATTCTTATAAAATTTTACATTAATTCAATATGTTTTAATAGTTCATTTTTATAAAATAAAATTGACGTAATATATTCATTTTAAAATATACTAAAATATAAATATTTTGGTTACTTTCAAGTTGTTTCAATTTTAATAAAATTTGATATATATGTATAAATAAATATGAACTTTCAATCTAATGATTGAATTTACAAAATTTGCATTTAATATAAAATTATTGAGCGGCATAACACTTAATAAAAGTTACACGGGTGTTATTATAACCCCTTATATATATATATATACTCTTCATGAATTGTATGAAGCCCGAACACATCAATTCAAGTGCATATGAAACGGATGAACTACCAAATATGCCATAACGTCTAATTAACATTAACTTACTAATTAATAAAAGAGGTGGCATATTTCGAGTGAAGGGATTAATGTTGAAATAGTCAAAAAAGAGGAATAGTGAAAAGCAAAAGTTCTTTTGGTTGAAGGAGCTACTAGCTAAAAGAAAAGTAAAAGCAGAAGCAAACAAACAATGAAGTCTAGCTTTTAGTTGGTTGCACGAAATTAAAAAGAGAAAAATTAATGAACACCACGTTGTATTTCCTTGTCTTCAAAAGATATATGTCAAGAAATCTTCAAGTTTAAGACTGCCAAGAGTAGCTGGGGAAGTCAAACCTGAAAAGACAGCTATGGCAATTTTCCTCACAAAAAAAGTCTTGTAAGCTTTTTCTGTGGAACCTACTTTGCCTTATGATTTCATGCACATCTTAACTTTATACTACACGATAGAGATTGTGTATTTTGTCTATGATTGTTGATACACTTGGTTCTTTCTCAGATAAGTGGGACCTAATAACACTCATTCAATCAAATCCAACATGTAAAGCAAATTAACTTTGCTTTTTAAATGAACCAAACAAACTCAATTAATCAAAGTTACAATTAAATACCATAATTTGAATTAGGTCTTTGCTTTAAAATTGATCCAAATCAAATGAGGGTCTTTTTGTATTTAAATGTATGAGTTTATCAATATATATATATAAGGAAAGTTCAAACGATATCGGTCTAACTTTTACTAAATGTTATACTACCCAATAACTTTATATTAAATGTGAATTTTGTAAATTTAACCGTTAGATTGAAAGTTCTTTACTCTTAAATCATATATACAAAATTTTATATTAATCCAAAATAATTTGATACTTCATTCTTATAAAATAAAATTGACATAATATATTCATTTTAAAATATACTAAAATAAAAACGTTTTGATTACTTTCAAATTGTTGTTTAATTTTAACAAAATTTGATATACACATATAAAGTGATATGAACTTTCAATCTAACGGTTAAATTTACAAAATTTACATTTAATATAAAGTTATTAAGTGGTGTAAAACTTAGTAAAAGTTACACCGGTATAATTATAACTCCTCGTGTATATATATATAGAGTAAACTTGAATGACGTTTTTTTTTAACCACGGTACAAAACATCTATTATGAGCCAAGTCGAGGCAAGAATGATGGAAGCTTAAAGCGAAATTTGAAAGACTTTTATACCTGAAATAAAAAAAATTAAAAAAAAAACCTATATTTTGGGTCTCTTTATCAATATATGTACCTCTCTTTGTTTTACAAAATTTAATACTAAATATTTTTTAGTTTGTGGGTACTAAATTTACTTTTCAATATAATTTATTGATCATATTTAAGACTAAAATTCAAATTATTAAATAATTTGATTAAGAGGCAGAAGTTACTATTACATGTTAGTCTTGAATAATCACTTAAAAGCCTGTGATAAGGAAAGGAAAAGAACTAATTCAAAGATGAAACTATAATTTTCCATTATGAAAGGAATGTATCTAACTATATATATATATATATATATATATATATTACTTTAATTCACTTTTCTATATAAGCATAAGTGACAATACATTTGTCACTAATTGGATTGTTTTTTCTGATTTAGGTTTTTTATTATTATTATGGAAGAACGCTAACAGCATATTATTTTTTGCTGCTATATTCTCTTATAATTAAAATTAAGAATAAATATGAATAGATAAGATATAATATTTTATTTTTTAATAAATTCTAAATAATTAAAAAATGTGTTAGTAGAATGTTTAGGCAGTAGAATAGGCACTAGGTAGGTGTTGTGCTTGAATAGGAACCTGTTGTTTGGGTATTATAAAATGTGGTGCTCCTTAATTTGTGAATGGAGATTGAGTTTGATGACATTTAATGCAGAGACAGAAGAGAAGACAATTGCACATTTGCACTATATTTCGACGTATCCTTTGTTGTCCTCTTACCATTGGCCATGGCAAAATAACAACCTTTCATTTTAAGGGTGATTCGACACTAATAAGTGCCATACAAATTATACTTCAGCGCCAACTTTTTTTTTTCTTCCTTTATTCACATTAGTGAGATATTACAAGGGTCCACACAATTGGTGTCTAGGATTATTTAAAAGAAAATAACTTTGTAATGTACGGTTTTTTAATTAAACTTTTATTTATAATAAAAATATAATGTAGAGTTAATTAATGAAAATTTTACTTAAAGAATTAATAAATTGGTCTCATTAAAATAGAGACTAAAATGGTGGTTAGACGATCACTACACCAGTATGTGCAGAATTAAAGTATTTAGTCTATATAATATAAAAAAAATTATATAATTAAATTTAAAAAATCTATTAGAGAAAGGAAAATAAATACTAATTATTAACTTTTTCTTTTTTGTGTGAACTATCATCAGTATTAACATAAAATAATAAATAAGAGTTGTCTTTAATTTTTTCTTTTTTCTTTATCTTTAATTTATTTGTTTTTTTTTTCTATTTTTTTTTTAATATAAACTATCTCAGTGTAATGAAATCTTTAAATCAAATTATGAATTTTTACCTTTCCTTTGCAAACTTCTTTGTTATGTATTATCATAATTAATCCATTTTTTCGTTACATAATCGTCTAGTTTGAATAAACTTTTCGATCAAAATATTTATAGGACAAAAATAAAATGGCAAAGATGAATTAAAATTTCTGTTAGTATATACTATAATTTACATCATAATATTATTTTTCTGAATAAACTCTTCAATCAAAATATTTATAGTAAAAAATATAAATAATAAAATATAAAATGAATTAAATTTCTGTTAATATATATAATTTACATCACGATATCTTATTTCTATCTTTTACACATATTCGTATTGCATGCATGTATATTTTCTTATGAATTTGCATAATTTCATAATTTTGGTCATGTTACTACTTTTTGTTTATTTTCTACGTAGGAAAAAGACATCTTAACCTTTGGAAATGATGGGAACAAACATGGACCAAATGGAGAAAAAAAAAAGAGAGTTACAGGCCACCATACCTACGTGCAGGGAATCCACACCACCTGTGAAATTGTATGTAAGTTAATTAGGGATGATTCAGGGCTATTTTGTTTGATTCCAAGTTCCTACTAGCTTATATGATCTTTGGGATGCTTCACAATTAATTTTTCTTTTAATATAAATGAATTTTTTTAAAATATTAGTTATCTTATTTAATAAATCGACTAATGTAAACTGAGGAATGGCCAACACATAATAGTCTTGGTCCTTATAATTTAAAATAAATTTTTTAGCTTTTATAATTATTTTTCTTTTAAGAAAAATTAGTTTATTTAGCTTAAAATAATTTTTTTAAATTTTTATGCTTACAAATTTTTAATTTCTTTAGTCTTTATTGATAATTATTTTTGTAACATTGTTTGTTTCATATTGATGTGATAGAAGTATTTAATTGTGTAAGAATAAAAAAAAAAGTATCTTAATAATGGACAACAGAAACTAGTGCAAAAAGAGTTTCTTATAAAAAAAATTTTGTATCAATGTAATTTACACGATATAGAAAGTAACGTAGTAAAATAATTATAAATATAATAAAACTTTTTTAATTGTCCTCCTTCTTGTGAGACCCGTGGCTGTTCTCCCTTTTCTCCCTCTTAACTCTCTTTTCTCACTCACTCTTTTTCTCTCAAGCTGAAGAGGTGTTTCATTAGAGGTTCTTCTTCTCAGACGCAAGCCGTGTGGAGCTAGTTGGAGCCGGATATTCTTTGCTCTTCCCCGTAGGATTTTCTCTTCTTTTCTATATTGATGTATTTTACTTTTTCCCTGTAACTGTTTTAAGTTATAACTGAAAGTGACACCTTTATTTATCTTATCATGTAAGCTAGGTTTGTGTATCTTATTTTACACTCTTCTGCAACTTTATATAGTTGCTCTCTCCTTATATTTCATTCATAACAGAATATAATCAATAATATTTTCTTGTATTCTCTCTGAAATTTCTCTGATAATCGCATATACACTATTAGTCTATTCTCATAATACCAGTTATCTAGTATTTCCTCAAAATTTTATCTTGTGATTGTGTTGTGCATAAATTTCCAAAAGCACTTTTACTTAGTCAAAATCTTTTGTTTTGTTTATTCATAGAGATCCAAATGCTGAAGAAAAGATGAATCCATTTGCTGAACAAGAGGCCTGGGAGGAACATCAAATTTGTACACACTTTTATATTATTATACTTGTATAAAATCTCTCATTGTTAAGAAAGAAGTTCATATTCTTTATTTGTAATGGTATATTTCTGGATTCTGAATAATATCTTTCAGGAAAGGCAACGCTGAAGTATGGTTCAAAAAATAAAAAACAAGTCTCTGATGATTATCAGTAAGTTTGTTCATCTAGAAACAACTGTTACTCAATGTTATGCATTGTAATCTGATTTTTTTACCTGATTATATGGCGTTAAAGTCTTGCTTATTGGATGGCATTTCACTATGCAAGTCTTAAGTTTGTATAATTTTATTCCTTAGATATAGTATAGGGTGTGATTCATCACCGCTATTTCTTTGAGTATACAGATAACTGATTTTAGGCTTGCTCACAATTTTTGTTTAGGTATGTTTTTGAGGACCAAATTGATTTTATCAAGGCATCAGTAATGGATGGCGACAAGGTATGTGGATGATTCAGCTTGACTGATGGGTTTTTATGGTGCTATTCTTCTGTTTGAGACAGTTTTTCTTTGCAGTTTGATTATGAAGAGATGGAAGATTCACTTGAAAAGTCCAGAGCAAAGCCAGCTTTGGAGGAACTACAGGTAGCATTTCAATATTTCACAAATGGCTTTATTAGTTCCTACTTCCCAGCACAGGTTGACGGGCACTAAATTGTGTTTAGAAAATCTTTTAATTGTGTCACTAAACCATATTCTTCTGTTATTAAAAGAAAATGAAACATATTCTTCTAGTTTTAATTAATGATTGAGGCTACAAAAAATACAAGTGAAAGACTAAGATGCTGTTACACATTATTAGATGGCAACTGGAAAAATAAACTTGAGTCTGATATATATTAGTTTGGTATTGTTTGTTGCTGATGACATCTGTTGTTTTAATGGACTGTGTGTACTCCTTTTTCAGAGAAATTTTAAAAGAAATTCTAACAACTCAACCTGGTGTACACAGTCCATTAAAACAACAGATGTCATCAGATGATGACATCTGTTGTTTTAATAGACTGTTTGTACTCCATTTTCAGGAAATTTTATAAGAATCAATCAATTTTATGTTGCATGAATGTGCATTAAGACTTATGAAGTTGGGACTGTTACGCTCTAGTAAAAGATACCCAATTGTTTCTCATTTCATTTTTTGTTCTCTTTGTTTACCTCTCATAGGTTCTTCCTAGATGGGTTGTATACCATGAACTAGTACTCACAACCAAGGAATATATGAGACAGGTATTCCTAACTGTTAACTAAGTCAAATTTTTCATGACTTCTTGCAATGGATATCGGTCAATAGCTAAAATTGCATACTCAAATTGCAGGTGACAGAATTAAAGCCAGAGTGGTTGGTGGAAATTGCCCCCCACTATTACCAGCTTCAGGATGTTGAAGACTGTATGCTCTCTCTCCCTCTCTTAAATTGGCATTATATTTTTTTGCAAAGAGCCAACCGTTAAATTATAATATTTGAAATTTAACAGTTGCATTTCATTTTTCATTCCGCCTATTGATGGGAATTTTTTTTTTCTTCTCTTTGGTTTAAGGAATTTGATGGCTATAATTATAAATCCTTTGACAACATCTTACTGATCCTTCTGCTCACTTGATAGAATTCAGAGAAAAGTAAAACAGATTAATAGGAGAACATTGTTGTAGGATTTGTTATTCTTTTGACTTACCTATCTTGTGTAACTTAATAATGGATAGTTAATTAAATAATTGTTATACATCCCTTTCATAATTAGTCCGCTTGTAAGCGTTATTGTTATACCATGAGTTATCTATGGAACATGTAAAATCAGTAAATTCAAATTTAACTCAATAAGTGGAAAAAAGTGCAGTTGTCATGAACTTCTCAAGCGAGCTATCGGAAGACATTTTGGTGAAGCTGCGAATAGCATATTAATCAACTTCCAATTTGTTAATTGTTGTAACAAGAATATTTTGTTGATTTATGGCATGAACTTCTGATTAGATTATAGTTAGAACTTCAATTCTATTGATCTAATGAGTTGTTGAATTGAATTTTGTGGCAGCATCTTCGAAGAAATTGCCACGTGGACCAGGACGTGCTCAAGAGGATAGATAGCTGACACATCTTTATATATGCTTTGGCTGGTAAAAAAATAATGTACTGTAAATAATTTATAACTGTATATTTAGAGTATAGCATCCTATATCCTTACCTGTTGAAGTAACTTTCGCAGTTGCAGTTGCATGTGCATCCTTTGGTTGAGTGTTGATTTCACTTACCAACAAATTTTGTCATGTAGATATCAGTCTCATTCTTTTGTAATAAGTGACATCTAATTCAATTTTATTAGCACTGCTAGTTTAGTATTGTAAAAAATTTTTAGTGCAGTGCTTTAATGTAGAAAATATTCAGAGCAACTTGTATTTACTGCTCATGGTTGTACAGATTCATTGAATCTGGCATATGCCATTCAATAATCTCTTAAATTCGGTTTTTGGTATCTCAAATTTAAATTGTTTTGTTAATTTCTATAATTTTGAAAGGTCTATATATATATATATTATTTTATTTTTCTTTTAAAAAAAATACTACTCTATTACTAATCTTGTATTTTTACCATTAAAGAGCTAAAAAATTATAGAGTAAATAAAGATAAATTGAGATATTTCCATTCTTCTTCCAAAGTTAAGAGAGTGCGTTATTTATAATCGATAGCTACAGGTAGTCCTACAATTATTATCATCTAATATTTAGGGAGTTTGAAAATATAAACGGAATACATGATAATAATAACAATAATAATAATAATAATAATAATAATTTTTTAGATTTAAGTCATAGATACAAGATAATTTGACGAGCATATAAAAAAAAAAGGACATAGAAGAGACAATTTGAGCGGGAATTTAGTTGTTTAGGACTCATGTTTCATTTTGAATATTGCCTAAATGATCCTTAAAAATGACGTGTGTCACAAAAATAATATGGAGTATGTTTGCAATTTTCCTAGTCTAAAGACGTCAAAATGAATTATTCGTAAGAATGACATGAAACATTTTTCTTGCATCAAAATTTAACATGTTTAGTTAAATATTTTATTTACTTAAAATACTAACTATCAACATTACAATTGGTTATTATTTCAAATGAGTAACATAAAAGTATTTAAACTAAATTAAAAGTCATTAATTCAAGTACTTTGACATGTGTATTCTTTAATCAATAATTAAGTTTAATCTTCATCTTGAACATATAATTATGCTTCTTTATTAAGCAATTATTTTTTAAAATAATATATCAAAATATTTTTTTTACTGAAATTCTTATAAATCATCGTAAGTAGTGTTTTTCTTTTAAAAACAATTATACATACCCTTTGTGTATATTAAATTATTTATATTAAAAAATATTGTAAATAATTCGTAAGTAATGTTTTTCTTTAAAAATTAAAATACACGGATAACTTTTTGACCATTTTTGATAAATTATAATCTAAATATTAAAAGATAAAGTTAAAACAAATAATGAAGGTATTATCACAATTTTGGTAAGTTATTCAGTCTAGTTATTTTTTCTTTAAAAAATCACCTTTCCGTTATTATTATATATCAAAAAAAAGTTCTTTAATTTATAACTTTTCTCTAACTTACAAATATATTAATATTTCATAAATTTGCCTACTATCATAACTAAGAAATATATATAAAAAAAATATTATTCTTGCAAATTTACTATTTGCTTAACAAAAAAAAAATGTGTTAATTGAACCCATGACTGAGGATGGTAGGAAGAAAGAAAAGTCAAAGAAGTGTGTGCAAGTATATTATTTCCATAACACGAAAAGAAAAAAAAAATAGAGTAAAAGAGATGTGTGGGAGAATTTTTGTAAAAGAGTAGTTCAAATTCTTAACAAACAGTATTGAATGAAAGTCTAAACGAGAACTTGTTAAAGAATATTACGAATGACTACGTTATTACAAACCTAATCGTCGTGCTTCGGTTGTTTCTCCGGCTGTTCTTCCTGCCGCTTCCGCTTACGGTCTTCGATTGAGCCCGTCGCTCCGGTAGTGGAGTCCGCCTTAACGGTGGTTGAGTCCGCCTTAACGGTGGTTGAGCCCGTTGCAACAGTGGTGAAGCCCGTCGCAACAGTGGTTGAGCCTATCACTCCCATGTTTCCCCACATGTAGTAATCCGGGATTTTGATAGCCTTGGGCATCTTGATTTCCACGTCGGGGTAACCGTCGAGCAGATCCCGGCCGTATTGTTCGATGGTGGTACCCTCTAATTCCTCCGGCAAAACCTCCCGCCCAATGAGTAACTGGATTTGCTCCAGTGTGAGTGGCGGCCGCGCTTGGCTGCCAGAAGTGACTGAAGGATTTGATATTTCGAATGAACTGACCAAAACCTGTTCTAAATGATTAAAAAATTCATTTAAATAATAAAATATTAAATTAAATAATTATTTTATAATAAATTTATTATAAATATTAATATTTTAATTATTCGGAGACATTCGGAATTTACATAGGAGGGTATAGTACTCCTCTTTTTTAAAACTATATTCGGAATTTACATTGGAGGATATAGTACTCCTCTTTTTTTAAACTATATTTGTTTTCAATTTTGAAATATGATTGTAATTCTGTGAATCTTTTTTTTTAACATATTCAAGAATTGAATTTTTTTTTTATTAAATTCACTTATATGAAAATTATTAAATATAAAAAATATAATAAAAATTACATAAAAATAAGTATAAAAAAAAGTAACTAAAAAGTTTTATAAAAAAAATTAATTTGTTGTTATTTTCTAATTGTTCATAGGGATATATTTCATACATGTTTCACTATATTTATAATCTTTTTAAATTCAAATATTAATTAAATTTATAATTTTTATATGGACGAATTTAGTTTCACAAGTTTTACGTCTTAAAAAAACAATAAAAATTGATTATTGTTTAAAAAGATCAAATCAATGTACCTACTTCCACAATTTATAAACCAGAACAGCATGAAACAAAACATTAACAAAGTAGCATGCCTTCACAATATTTGCACATTGTAAAATAAAAATAAATATAATGGAAGCCTTAAATAAGCTTTTCAAATGAAATTAACCTAATGAAATCACATAAATTAAATCTTACCATTCCATGTTTTGTAAAGCCAGCTTCATGAAGATATTGGGGGATCTGTGTCGTCTTCCCTGAACCAGTTTCACCAACAATTATAAGTACCTATATATAAGAAAATTGTTGAAGGTTAATTTGAATGAACATACAATTGTATACAAAAAAATGTAATAAATTCTTAGGAACAATAACCTTGAATTTGGTCCAAGGCTACATTTGACTTGCTCTCTTATGAGTATCAAGAAATATTAGTATCTCAATTTTAGCTTCTCACAAGCTAGCTCCTTTGTGTTATGATACAACTTTTTTTTTTTTTTTTTTTTGTTTTCTCTAAGTTCTTTGTTTGATCTGATTTTTTGTCAATGAACATATTATAGTTTGATTTGATTACTATGCTGTTTGGTATGCTATTATATTTATACATATCTGTTCCTTAATTTATTGCTGAATTTAATACTTTATCGTGGTTACTGCAGAGATGATATAGAAGATGAGCAATATCTATTTGAAGGTGTAAAGCTTTCGGAAGTAGAATATCGTGAACTGAGGTAATCTATCTGTTCACTTGTTTCTTGAGTTCCCCTTATTCAATTTGCCTTTTGTTACCATATGAGACATTTTTTTTTTAAATTTTTTTATTAGTGATTGAATTATGTGAAGGAAATGCTACGCCCAACTTTGGTCACCACCACAGTCCTTCTATAGTAGCTTTTAAACTAAAGTCAAGCTGCTGATTTAGTTTTTTATTATTTTGTCTTGTTCAATCTGTTTGTTTTAGGAGTATATTTGTGAATTCTGTATTTGCAGATGGGAACTATAACCCTTCTATCATTATGCTATGTGTGGAGCCCCAATCCCAAATATCAAAGATGTAGCTTCTGTTTCTTTAGCCAGGAAAAGTTTTATTTGTTTTGTTTATATCCCGCAGGTACAAGAAAGAGATATATGAACTTGTGAAGAAGCGGTCTGAGGAGGCTGACAATGTAAATGAGGTATGGTAATCGATAAGTTTGTATTCCATGAGTGTGAAATCCTAATTGGTTTATGTATCAATTGTTAATTATTGTCAAAATAAATTTTTTTATTTGTTAAGTTAAGCTGCTTGCCAGTTATTTCTTCCTTTTCTTTCTATTGATGATTACTAATTTATTGCCAAGACTTGAACTGTATAATGCAATCCTTCTTAGTTGCAATGGAAATTAGAGTAAAGATCTTTTATCTGACAGTATTTAATACATTAGGGATCTGGGCACTGACAAAGGGATTTGAGCATTGATAAGTTAAATTGATAGATCTATATATTTCTTATTCAATCTCTTACACATTCTCCTGAAATTGCAGTATAGAATGCCAGAAGCTTATGATCAGGAAGGTGTTAATCAGGAGAAGAGATTTTCTGTGGCTATGCAGCGTTACAGGTGTTTTCACTTAATACATGATCTCCACTAGTTGTAAAAATATAAAAAGGAAAAGAAACTGGAATCACTATTAGAGTATAGGATTTTCTCTTCTTTTCTATATTGATGTATTTTACTTTTTCCCTGTAACTGTTTTAAGTTATAACTGAAAGTGACACCTTTATTTATCTTATCATGTAAGCTAGGTTTGTGTATCTTATTTTACACTCTTCTGCAACTTTATATAGTTGCTCTCTCCTTATATTTCATTCATAACAGAATATAATCAATAATATTTTCTATTTCCGACCCGGACAATTTTAGGGGTCTACAAGCTCTTCTTCATATTCTTCCCCGTTTCTCCTTCCTGGAAGCTCGAATTTCTTCACCGAGGTAAGGGAAGTTAGTTATTTTTGTGCTGGCTGCTTGGAAGTGAGCTAGAAACTCACTTGATGGCTGATTATTGCGGATTGATGGTGGTGTTTGATGAAATTTCGTTTTCGGGGTTTTCCGGGGTTTGATGAAAAATTTGGAAATTTTCCTTATTTGTAGTTGCATGTTGAAAAAGCTGGTATTTTTGAGCTGTTGGATGAAAATGTGGAGTTTTGAACCGATTGCATGTGTTTGGATGACTTGATTTGTGCAGGTTTGATGAAAATTTTCGAACTGGTGAGAGTTACTGTTTGAATTTGCGCCGGGCGCAGTTATTCGAGCCGGGCGTGATTTGAAATGGGGAATCCCTGGGTGAATCACGTCGGGCGTGGGGAGAACCACGTCGGGCGTGGGGAGAACCACGTCGGGCGCACTATCAGATGTGAATCTCATGCTTTTGTTACTGATACTGCGCCGAGCTCAGGATAAGTGCGCCGGGCGCAATGGACCTCTGTAGGTCTCTGGTTGAGAATTGCGCCGGGCGTGATTTTAATGAGCCGGGCGTGCGTTTTTCTTTCAGAATTTGACTTTATAGTCTTCATGAAAGTTGTAACCTTGGATGTTAGCTTTCTAATGGCACTGGAAGCACCCAAAAAGGAGTTTTAGAACTCCAGATATGGTTGTTTTAGTGAAGAGGGGTCAAGCTGCCAGCATTGCTTGTAGCTGTTGCGGTTTTTATCATTTTTCATAAGGTAGATGAAGGAATTAAGACTTAGTGTCTTCATGAGAGAGTTGTAGGAAATCTTCTTATCTTTCATATGAGATAAGGATGAGCATGGTAGGTGTAACAGCCCATTTTTCGTGGGCCAAAGGCCCAATTCGTGGCCCGGAACGGGCCATTTCAAAATTGGAGCGGGCCGTTCCGGAATAGTTAGAATGCCCAAAATGTATAAGCAGAACGAGCCGTTTCAATTAGAGAACGGGTCATTCTGGTTTAGAGAACGGGCCATTCCAGTGGAGAATTTTGCGTAGTTTCGAAGGGTCCAGAACGGCCGTTCCACTTTTGGAACAGGCCGTTCTGGTAGGTGAGCCTGAAATCCTATAAATAGCGCCCCTAACCTCTCATTTTGACACATCTCTCATTCTCCCTTCTTATTCTCTGCTGTTCTCTCTTCTTTTCCTCTTCTTTTCTCTGAAGACCAAGGGGCATTTAGAGGAGGAGACCAAGAGATTCCTGTTTTAGTTCAATTGCTGTTTATCCAGGTACGGGGGAAAAGGAAATTATTTATATGTAGAGTTACATAAGAGAATTGGGTAGAAGAAGAACCCTTAGGATTATGATCAATTTTATAATTATTTCTGTTTGGAGAATTATTGGTCTTATTTGATTCTGTATGAATTTAGGATTATGAATATATGATTTATTTGTAAAAATGATGCTCTGGAAGAGAGAACAAAATTATAGAAAAGTGCCTATAGGCTAGGTTTTGGAAAAATTGGAATATTTCTGTTTGAGAAATTGATGATCCCATTAGATTATGTATGTGTTGAGGATTAGAAATACATATTTAATTTGTAAGAATGATGATCTGAGAGGGAGAATGAAACTGTAGAAAAGTTCCTGTGAGTTAGGTTTTGGAATAATTGGGGGTTTTACTGTTTATGTTAAAATTATATTAAATTAATTATTATATTAATTTATGAATGTTATTGCTATATTACTTGATAAAATTGATGACTTAGATATGAATTGCTTGAGATGTATGAAACCCATTATTTTGGACTTATCTGATGCGTTGATGGAATTGAACTAGGAGATGTTGTGCGGAATGTGAATGTGATGTGATTGTGGTTCTTCACACCTATGACCAGGGGTGAGCATGGCTCGGGATTGTTACATGGGTATCGTGACCATGGTTAACATGTCAGGGGTGAGCACGGCCCTGGGTTAGGGGTAACGTGACCTTGGCACAGTGTTATATCAGGGGTGAGCACGGCCCGAGTATGTTACATGAGTATCGTGACCTTGGTTAACATGTCAGGGGTGAGCACGACCCTAGGTTAGGGGTAACGTGACCTTGGCACAGTGTTATATCAGGGGTGAGCACGGCTCTAGATTGTTACGTGAGTATCGTGACCTTGAATAACATGTCGGGGGTGAGCACGACCCTGGGCTAGATATGCTACAGGGGAATCGTGACCTTGGCACAGTGTTATATCAGGGGTGAGAACGGTCTTGGATTGTTAAATGAGTAGCGTGACCTTGGCATAGTGTGAAGTGCAAGATTTTTAATGATTGGTGTGATTGAGAATTATGACGTGATGACGATGCATGATTGATTGAAATATGATATGTTGAAATATTTATGAATATTAAGCTATAATGAGATAATATGTTGCGTTTTCTTATGTGCTATATATATATATAGATGTTTTCTTTTCTCACCGTACAACTCGTGGATGTTTTAGGTGAGGAAGATCCGGGCTATGTGTAGCATCTAGAATGTCAACAGTTGATTTATGGGTATGCTCTGATATTGTGACATCGGGGCAGAGGATTTCTAGGACATGAATTGCATTGTATATGGAGTTGAACATATTATTTTGAAAACATTTTGTAACCTCTTATGTTTTATTTTCCAAGTTTCATTTTCAGACTATTTTGGATATTGAAGAATGTTTCTAAAGGTTTTTATGTGAACCCTTTTACCTATGTTGAAAACTTTATTTCCTTAGTTTATTTATATTATTACAATATATGTGTTGGGGTAATAAGGGTGTCACAGTAGGAGTAGTATAACTCCTAATACGCTGTTTTATGTGGAGGTTGCCATTTTACAGTTAGTGATTTGGTTAAGTTGAAAGTTGTTTTAAGTGCTTAGGTTGATTGGTGTTGTTTGGGTGGATAATTTGGCATGATAGATGAGTTTTAAACAAGATGGATAAGTCGCATTATGTGTTGAACATGTTGTATGCTGTTTGATCTGTTATTGCTGTTAAGTTGAGCTGTGCCGAATGGTGTTGAGTTGAGTGATGATTTTGATGTGCTGTGAGATGTCTATGTTGCATCATGATGTTAAGTTGTATTTGATATCTAGTGTTGTGCTATAAGTTATTTAGATGTGCTGTGTTGTTCTGTAAGTTGTTTAGCTGTGTTGTGTTGTAAGTTGTTTAGCTATGTGTGTTGTGTTGTAAGTTGTTTAGCTGTGCTGTGTTGTGCCGTAAGTTGTTTAGCTATGTTGTGTTGTGCTGTAAGTTGTTTAGCTATGCTGTACTATGCTGTAAGTTATTTAGCTATGCTATGCTATACTGTAAGTTGTTTAGCTGTGCTGTAAGTTGTTTAGTTGTGCTGTGCTGTGCTGTAAGTTGTTTAGCTGTGCTAGATGCTGATATTGCTGTGCTGTGAGCTGTTTAAGCTGTGGTGAATATTATTAGCTGTGATGTAAGCTGTTAATGTTGTATGCTGATATTGTTGTGTTGAGCTGTATGTTGTTATTGCCGCTATGCGGTGCTGTTATTGCCGCTATGTGGTATTGTTATTGCTGCTATGCGGTGTTGTTATTGCTACTATGCAGTGCTGTGCTCTGTGCTGTTAGGAGCTGTTGTAGGCCGTAAGGCTGAGCTGTTGATTACTAAGATTAGAGGAGTTGTTTTCGAAATTATGTCATCCCATTGTATGGATGCAGCGGCTGTGGTGCTCATGGGGCTCAATTTGTTGAAAACCCTCCCTGAAAAGCTGACCCTTAGAGTGGTAACTTGTTGTTCTCCTCTAAGTTCTTAGTGGTCCCGTGTGTGGGCAAGGTCGAGGCACACGTGTACAAAGCGACCACGGTATAGGGGTCAGGTCGAGCTATACCGATTACAAGCGACCAATACTAACTGATATGCGTGACGACGCATTGTGTGTTTACTGTTGTTTACCGCTGTGTACTGCTATTTACTGCTATTATTGCTGAATGATGTGAGATGTATGCTGTGTTATATATTATAAGCTGATGTTGTTAAGCTGGTTGATGTGCTGATAGCTGTAGTTGTTTACCATTCATATATTTATATATGTATGTTGATTCTTTTCACTAGCTTACCCTTTGTTGTTTCCATGTGTTTGGACTGCGATGATCATACGTTGTATGGGAGCAGAGCAGGGTTAGGTTGGTGACTTGGGGCAGGTCTGCAACTGGCAGATAGAGCTGATTCTTTTTGCTGTTTTGTTGTTTTTAGCTACCTAGTGTGGCATTGTTGGATGAAATTTGTATACTCAGATTTTAGCCCAGATTGGACCTTGTATATATATATATAAATTCTAGACACTAATTGTGGAGTTAACTCAGGATCACATTAATTGTGGGATGATTACCATAACTAGTGAGTTCTTGAGGCAGGTTGGACAGAAGCAGTTGTAAGATGTGGAGTTGGTGAAACTTCATGGTTTGCTGGGAACTGAGAAGGCTGTTGGTTTTGAGCTGGGAGGAGGTCCTACCGCTAGTTGAGTTCACGTACAATAATAGCTTTCATGCTAGTATTGGGATGGCGCCGTTTGAAGCCTTGTATGGCAGGAGACGTAGGACTCCTCTGTGCTGGTATCAAGATGGTGAGTCAGTGGTTGTGGGACCGGAGCTAATCCTACAGACTACTGAGAAGGTGAAGCTGAATTCAGGAGAGGATGAAGACTGCTCAAAGTAGGCAGAAATCATATGATGATAAAAGGCGAAAGCCTTTAGAGTTTGTTGAAGGGGAACATGTGTTTCTGAAGGTGACCCGACTTCTGGTGTGGGTAGAGCGCTGAAGGCAAGGAAGTTGACAACGAGGTTTATTGGTCCCTATCAGATCATACAGCGTGTGGGTCCGGTTGCTTATTGGTTGGCTTTGCCACCGTCTCTTTCAAACCTACACGATGTATTTCATTTGTCTCAGTTGAGGAAGTATGTTCATGACCTTGGTCATGTGGTGGAGCTGGATGATATGCGGGTGAAGGAGAATCTGACGTTTGAGAAGTTGTCAGTAGATGTGGTTGATCATAAGGTGAAGGAGCTGAAGGGCAAGTCCATTGCTCTGGTGAAGGTATTGTGGAATGCAGCTACTGGTGAGGCTACTTGGGAGCTAGAGCAGCAGTACAGGGAGCGGTATCCTTTTCTTTTCCCAAGTAAGTCTGTTTTCGGGGACGAAAACTTTTGTTGTTGGGGAGATTGTGAGACCCGTGGTTGTTCCCCCCTTTCTCCCTCTCAACTCTCTTTTCTCACTCACTCTTTTTCTCTCAAGCTGAAGAGGTGTTTCATTAGAGGTTCTTCTTCTCAGATGCAAGCCGTGTGGAGCTAGTTGGAGCCGGATATTCTTTGCTCTTCTCCGTTGAGCTCTTCTTCATATTCTTCCCCGTTTCTCCTTCCTGGAAGCTCAAATTTCTTCACCGAGGTAAGGGAAGTTAGTTATTTTTGTGCTGGCTTCTTGGAAGTGAGCTAAAAACTCACTTGATGGCTGATTATTGCGGATTGATGGTGGTGCTTGATGAAATTTCATTTTTGAGGTTTTCCGGGGTTTGATGAAAATTTTGGAAATTTTCCTTGTTTGTAGTTGCATGTTGAAAAAGCTGGTATTTTTGAGCTGTTGGATGAAAATGTAGAGTTTTGAACCGATTGCATGTGTTTGGATGACTTGATTTGTGCAGGTTTGATGAAAATTTTCGAATTGGTGAGAGTTACTATTTGAATTTGCGCCGGGCGCAGTTCTTCGCGCCGGGCTGATTTGAAATGGGAATCCTTGGGTGAATCACGCCGGGCGTGGGGAGAACGACACCGGGCGCACTATCAGACGTGAATCTCATGCTTTTGTTACTGATACTGCGTCGGGCTCAGGATAAGTGAGCCGGGCGCAATGGACCTCTGTAGGTCTCTGGTTGAGAATTGCGCCGAGCGTGATTTTAATGAGCTGGGCGTGCGTTTTTCTTTCAGAATTTGACTTTATAGTCTTCATGAAAGTTGTAACCTTGGATGTTAGATTTCCAATGGCGCTGGAAGCACCCAAAAAGGAGTTTTAGAACTCCAGATATAACTGTTTTAGTGAAGAGGGGTCAAGCTGCCAGCATTGCTTGTAGCTGTTGCGGTTTTTATCATTTTTCATAAGGTAGATGAAGGAATTAAGACTTAGTATCTTCATGACAGTCGTAGGAAATCTTCTTATCTTTCATATGAGATAAGGATGAGCATGGTAGGAGTATTATAACTCCTAATACGCTATTTTATGTGGAGGTTGCCATTTTACAGTTAGTGATTTGGTTAAGTTGAAAGTTGTTTTAAGTGCTTAGGTTGATTGGTGTTGTTTGGGTGGATAATTTGGCATGATAGATGAGTTTTAAACAAGATGGATGAGTCGCATTATGTGTTGAACATGCTGTATGATGTTTGAGCTGTTATTGCTGTTAAGTTGAGTTGTGCCGAATGTTGTTGAGCTGAGTGATGATTTTGATGTGTTGTGAGATGTCTATGCTGCATCATGATGTTAAGCTGTATTTGATAGCTAGTGTTGTGCTGTAAGTTGTTTAGCTGTGCTGAGCTGTGCTGTAAGTTGTTTAGCTGTGCTGTGCTGTGCTGTGTTGTGTTGTGCTGTAAGTTGTTTAGCTATGTGTGTTGTGTTGTAAGTTATTTAGTTGTGCTGTGCTGTGCTGTAAGTTGTTTAGCTATGTTGTGCTATGTTGTAAGTTATTTAGTTGTGTTGTACTATGCTGTAAGTTATTTAGCTATGTTGTGCTATACTGTAAGTTGTTTAGCTGTGCTGTAAGTTGTTTAACTGTGTTGTGCTGTGTTGTAAGTTGTTTAGCTGTGCTGGATGCTGATATTGTTGTGCTGTGAGCTGTTTAAGCTGTGGTGAATATTATTAGCTGTGATGTAAGTTGTTAATGTTGTATGCTGATATTGCTGAGCTGTATGCTGTTATTGCCGCTATGCGATGCTGTTATTGCCGCTATGCGGTGCTGTTATTGCTGTTATGCAGTGTTGTGCTTCGTGCTGTTAGGAGCTGTTGTAAGCCGTAAGGCTGAGCTGTTGATTACTAAGATTAGAGGAGTTGTTTTCGAAATTACGTCATCCCATTGTATGGATGCAGCGACTGTGGTGCTCATGGGGCTCAATTTTTTGAAATCCCTCCCTGGAAAGCTGACCCTTGGAGTGGTAACTTGCTGTTCTCCTCTAAGTTCTTAGTGGTCCCGTGTGTGGGCAAGGTCGAGGCACACGTGTACAAAGCGACCACGGTATAGGGGCCAGGTCGAGCTATCCCGATTACAAGCGACCAATACTAACTCCTATGCGTGACGTCGCATTGTGTGTTTACTGTTGTTTACCGCTGTGTACTGCTGTTTATTGCTATTATTGCTGAATGATGTGAGATGTGTGTTGTGTGCTGTGTTATATATTATAAGCTGATGTTATTAAGCTGGTTGATGTGCTGATAGATGTAGCTGTTTACCATTCATATATTTATATATGTATGTTGATTCTTTTCACTAGCTTACCCTTTGTTGTTTCCATGTGTTTGGACTGCGATGATCATACGTTGTATGGGAGCAGAGCAGGGTTAGGTTGGTGACTTGGAGCAGGTCTGCAGCTGGCAGATAGAGCTGATTCTTTTTGCTATTTTGTTGTTTTTAGCTACCTAGTGTGGCATTGTTGGATGAAATTTGTATACTCAGATTTTAGCCTAGATTGGACCTTGTATATATATATATATAAATTCTAGACACTATATGTATATACTTGTTCTTTTCTGTGTGGTGTTGGGCAGTGTGTAATGACCACCCGGGTCATTACACTTCTCGTATATTAAGGTAAAAAAAAATTCTTTTGATTTTTTTTGTTATTATTGTTTAAATGTTAATAATGTGGTGGTTCGGAAGTAAATATGGTGATGGAGAAATGCAAAACGCGATAGCTACAAAAGAAGATGCCAGAACAAGGGGAAAAGAGGGTGGTGGGGAATGCAAAGAAATGTGATAAGAGAGAAAAGGAATGACAATGAAACATGAAGAGATATGATGAGAAAGAAAAGGCATGACAATGAAATGTGAAGAGATGTAATGATAGAGAAAGAGTG